TACACCTCGGTCGTCGAAGTCCGTAAAAGTATGTACCTAACACCATAACCATTATGTTTGTTTTTCATTATTATTTTTATTAATATCGCAGAGTGGTTATTATATATATAGTTCGTTTTTTCGGTAGATATGCCTACCTTATTTTTAAAATTGACCTAGTCGGGGCACGAATACCTACTGACAATTAATTAATTCTGCAAGACTATAGGGATTTCACACGTCCCAACGTGCATGCGTCATGGACTTTGCCTTTAAATATATTATATATTATATGGTATTATATGTATCTATTATACATTTTTGTAAATTATTTTTTACACTAGAAATGTGCTGTGCGTGTACGGCACCTACACATGAAGGTATTAATAATGACATAATATACGCAGTTGCCATTGTATTATACAATATAAAGTAATTATAATGTAAGTGTAATATCGCATCAATGTTTATAATTTAATGCGTATCGTATACCTCCATACGACACGACTGCTATGTTAGTGCACGTATCAACATTTCGTGTCGTTAACACGAATTTGAAAATACGTTTTTGGTTGATTAAAAAAAAGTTGCACAAGGCATGTTTTGAAATAACTATATAATTCAGACGCAAAAAATACGCCGTTCTTCTTGGGATGTCTCTCCGTTTTAAATTGTCCAATAATATTATTTTATTAAAATAAGAGGAGAGTGCCTCTCGGCACTAAAATCACCCCACGCATTTTGTAGGCTTCGGATTACAAGACACATTATACGAAGAATTATTTTAAACGCTTTGAAGTACCTCAATTAATTTAATCTACATACGTTAACTCCCTTTCTTTTAGTAATTCAGGAAAAATATTATATTACTTTTGAGTAAAACTGCTCTGAGAGGACGTATACTAAAAAGTCATTTGTAAATGACCTATTTGATTTACTTTATTTGCTGCTAACCATAGTATTTGGAAATTTTTAACATTTCCTATCATGTGATTTAAATGATTATAGTGACCATAGGAAGTTCCTTTATTAATACCTTAAAGTGTTTATTTTATGTTTTTATTGTAATGGCAAAAAAAGAGTCTACTTATTTGTTTTTAATTATCAATTACCATAATAAAAATTGTTAAATTGACTATATTTTATGTATTATGAATATTATTCGGATTTTATAAACTGAAATATATTACTTTATACAATGATATATGTGTATAACTATCAATTTGATATTAACTAACCTAATAAATGTATTAATAAGAGTTAAAGTTCAAAACGTAGTTATGTTTTCAGCAAAAATACTGTTTGTTCATTCACTGGGTATTAGATGTTCATTCACAGGATTAATGTGTTCATTCACTAGGAAATGTTGTTTTTTAGGGTTTATTCATTTTTAATTATTTATTGATAACTAATTTAAAATAAATATTATAATATTCTTGCACAGAATTATTCAATGAATGAAAAATAAATTTTAAAAACCCTGGAATACCAAAAATGTCTATTGTATCATTACTTGAAGATTGAATAGTGCTTGTGTGTTCATTCATTGGTGCACTCACCCTAATTTGTTTTTATTTGAAAATGTAAAAAACTCCTATATAGTGGTTTTGTAGTTTTTGTGTTATTTAAATAATTAGCATTTAATACTATTACACAAATTTAAATACTTATAATTTAGTTCTATGAACCTTTGTGCAGGCTATGTGTAAAAATAGGGTAATATGATTTAATATAAAAATAACTAAATAAGTGATTCTAAAATGTCTTAAACGATTTAGCTAGGGATTATAGTATGCCTAGTTTCATTTTATTTAGTTGATACATTTCCGTATGTCTAACTTGTATAAAAATACTGATTGTTTTTTTATTTCATTTTTATATAATATTTGTTTTTTAGAATTGAATAATTAGCTTTCATTTGGATTAAAAAAGGGCATTAATTCGTCCTAGAATATACTTACTACCTAACTAATACAAACCTTATATGTACAGTATAACTTTAAGTAGTCATATGTCATTATTTAATAATAAACTCTTACGTGTTCCTCTAAAAAGGCGTCCGACTATTTTTTTTCTTCATAGCTCGGCAGGTTTTTTCTTGTCTGTCCACTTTTGTGAAAATTGCTTTTTTCCACGCAATTGTTTCAAAGAAACGTGATAGCCTCTTTATGATTATGTAACATTTTCATCTTGCTATTAATATTATTATTTAAAAAAATGTCACATTTACTTATGTACATCTACAATTTAAGGTACAACTATTTATTACTCGTTGACGAACAATAGCTGAGGTAGAATTTTGAAGCACAGAAACAAATATAATCTTAAGATTTCTTGAAGTATAAAATATAAAATTGTATTACAAATTACAAAAAAAAAATTGTGACGATAGTAGTCTCAGCTTACCGAAAACAGAATATTATTATCATTTCGCAAATGTAAGACACTGTTATGATTAATGACTTTCCAGTGGAGGAAAAAAGGAAGATAAAAATTCAATTGAAAAACACGAAATGTTGGGATGTACTTCAAAATAGATTAAACAATTACGCGAATCACACAAAGAGCAAAAGTCGATACTGGCAGAAATAAAATAAAATTGTAACTCCGCATAATACGAGAAAACTAAAATATATTAGGGATAGTGGTACAAAAATGAAATAAAATTGTAATTGGGTTTAAGCCTAAATTTATTATCATCGTATAATTACATGCAAAACTATGTGGTTAGAATAACATTATTATTATTTATTTATTTATTTTTGTTTTTTTTTTTTTTTAAATAGGGAAGTCGTGCGCTTTAATTTTCATTATTCTCAGGTCGCACCACCACCTCATACAGCCATAATCAACCACTTCACCGCATGTTCGGAACATATAACAATACAACTCCACTGCTATTCCCGTGTTTTTAAATTCATATGATGTTCAAAACTTCAGCAGTACTGTTATTTTCAGATTTACCTAATTGTATTTTTTTTCTTAAAAAGTAACTGCTGCCGTTTACAAAGATACCTATAATATAATATTATAATGTTATAATATATTATTAATTGTTATGTGCATTTATAAATAAATCAACTATACTACAAGTCAATTAATGATTGTTCAGTATATAAACCACGGTTATATACTGGATCAAGTGTGCAAATAAGACAACCTCGACCTGAATCCATCGATGTATATCGTATAAAATATTTTCTCACAACGATAATTATTTATTAAACGCAAGAGTTATAATTTTTGAAATACAGGAATCGCAGCTAAGGGATGCAACGAAATTTGCGTTCTTCATCTCGCCTCACCAGTAACCGTGTATCAGTAGTCAGTGATTACACGTGCCTAAATTGGTTACAGCTGCGGATACCATATAAACGCAATAACCGACCTGCACCTACGCGTAAGACCGCATAGTTAATTGTATCACAGAGTAAACAATACAACGTGACAATACAATATAATATAATATTATATTGTAAATTGTATACTTAGGTATAACATTAATTTAAGAGAACCCAAACGGGTGTTACACAACATTATATCATTGACTATATATATATGATATTATTATATGAGTATCAGCTCAATAAACGCCAAATTATTAATAAAGCCGTTCTTTTATTTTCAACATAATAACTATTTTTTCGTAAATTGTTTCACATCGATGATGATTATAATAATTATAATAATAATAATAATAATAATAATAATAATCGTTAAATATTATATTATAATAATATATAGTGTATCACATTAAAGTGATAGTCACATTTCCCGCGTGCTCTTTCTAAAATTAACATTCATATAACAATGTAAGCAAAAAAATGTCGAAGTAATTATTATGAATATATCTTTGTTACGATAAAATAATTGTAATAGTAAACGTGAACAATGAAAGTGCAAAAAAATAGACTCAAAAAATGAAACACTCTATTATTGTACTAGAGAACAATGAAAAATATATTCACAAAATTTGTTTCTTCTTTACAATATTAATGTTAGGATTGAATATAGTAAGTATAAAAAATAAAATGCTCTCAAAAAATTGCCTAAAAAATCTAGGCCTATATAAAAATGCGTAAATTTAATGTAAACATTGAACGACCAGTAAATGAAAAACTTACATACTAAAAGAACATCTAAAATTAGGAAGTCTGTACTTTTACAATTAAAATAACCTAAATATTACAAACAAATGTCGTTTAAATCTACCCGTACACATATAATATGTATCATAAGGAGCTGGTCACATAATTACAAAATTTAAATGTAACAATATAATATTATATTTAGTTCGATTGTATTGTAATTAACATCTATAAATAATTAATAAATAAGAAAGACAATTAATTAGAAGTAAATACATTACACATGATGTATCATCGTATATGATATACATATGTATATATGTATTTGTAATAATATATAATATAAGAAACGTGATTAAAATTTTTAAAAATAATAATAATTATAATTTGAGATCTTACGACTACTCATCATTTAATATTAAACACGTCACAATAATATTATTATATCTACGACGAATAGCACGTATCAGTCTTTTTGGAAATGATATTTAAGTATATTATAATAGATTTAAAACGTATAGTAATGAAATAATAACATCAGTATTATGGCCAATATTTCATCGTCCTGCAAATGTGATGCACTTCAAGTGGTTATATTAATATCATGTCGGTGTATAATACAATGGCAAGGCGCACACTTATCTGAGCTCAATTATATGTATGCAAAAACAACCATAATAATAATAATAATAATTTCTATTGAATAAACGATAGGTCTGTTGAACAAGTGAAAATAGAATGTGGCACCCGCTAAATGTACGAAAAATGGCGTTTCACGGCTATAACCCCCCCCCCCCCCGGCAAACACTTCTATATAGTTAGAGATACTTATAATCGATAATTTATCGATGAACGCAGAGTCGAAATAGTGTTTTTTTTTTTATTCGGCCGTTTATGGATACAAAAATAATGATACAAAATCATAATTATTATTCGACAGCTAAATATAGTACACCGCAGCCATCATACGCCATAATATAACATTCATACTGCCCCAGCGTGTGTGGCCAGGCATACAATTTTCTATTTGGGATATCGACTACTATATTATGCTGGGGATGAAACCACCCCGCCAGTGAACGATAATCATCGTGATACGATCAAGTGTGAGTCATATCATATACTGTACGAAACGAAAAATACTATTTCTGATAAATCACTACAGATATTTACGAAAAGTTTCACAGGAGCCGCGCATCTGCGAACGACTGTCCCTTTATATTCTTCTACAATATTGGCGACAAAAAAATGTGGACGGCCGTGCTGCCTCGCCTTGCTCCGTTCGTAAAAATCAAAACAAAGCCGATTGTCAATATAATATATGTATTTTTATCTAAGTGGAATACACCGTTGATATTTTCTGAAAGTTAAATTTACAACATATTTTGGTCGGCACGATCTGTAGTCACTCTGTACTATCGGAATTGGAATGTGTGCAGAAGAGATAAAAAAGAAAAACAAGACTATTGGGTTCGCTTTCCGAATTACAGAAAAAAAATTATAAATGCTTATGGTTATCTCCATGATATAATTATAATCGATGACGATTCGATTTGGGAAGACTGCATTGCCAATAATAATTCTTGCCGAGCACCCACATTGTACGGCTGCAATTTAACGCCATGATATTCAGCATAGGCAACGGGGTCGAGTACTGATTCCGACGACTTGCGATGATTATTCGATTATTGCAATTATGAGGTATCATATACGTCGTGCCAATCACTGCGTGCCCGGTTAATATAATATTATAGTATGTATATACGTAGATAGACCAAAACAAAATAGCCGCTTAATAATAATAATAATAATATCAATACAAACCTAGCGTATATAACTCGGTTTACCTTTATCGTTTATAATAATATTATTACTGTGGGCATACATGCGCCGATAGTGATGTTATTGTTACAAATTACTATTGTACGGAATTTGACGGACAACGCCATCGTAAGTATGCGATGATGATGATATAAACACGCCACTATTTCCACGAGTACTCTATATACAGGGCGGGTCACCGAGCGATGTTTTCCCACGCTCTTAACGCGGATATGATGCGTAGTTGAAACGGGAAAAATGGGAAAACCCGGCTTCTCGCCCTGTATAATATATAGTATTCGTTCGTGCGAAAAGCGCGTTCTACGGTCCACGTCGAAATTATATATTTATATAGAAAAAGAAGTTCGAAAACCGTAAGAACTTTCGGAAAGTTTTCCTGCAAATCTAAATAGAATGTTTTCCTTCGCTTCGCGATTTCAACGTTAATATATTTCTTTAGTACGAAAAAAAGTGGCTTTGTGCGGATTCTTGTGAATAATATTGTTGTATACACAAAGCGATTTAATTTTTTTTTTTTTTAATAAAACGGAAACGTGTTTAAAAAACTGATTTTAAATGTCGTCTTAGTGGCGTCTAGGACTTTCGTGGAGACTTTGTGAATACATAATGATTGACCGAATCCGATAATGATAACGATATAATAATATCATGACATTATATGGTATACTTTAGGTACTAAATAGAACGTGTTCGAGCGGACACTAAATAGAAAAACGTCTGAAATTTTCGACGGTTGTCAGACGAAGAAAATGCGTGCATACGAGTACACGGATTATCGTCGAATGGTTTTCTTCAATGAACACGCAAAGTGGCAAGAGCAAGTCACATGTTGGTCCAATAAAAGACCACCGGTCGAACACTACAAATTACTGTTCTCACTGCCCGTCTGTTAACAATCATATTATTATCAAAACTAAATAAATTTGATAGGTGTAAGTGTGTAACTGATAATATTATAATATTTTGAGGACTCTGAAACACTGGCCTCGCGAATCGCGATCGTGTTGTCAGCGGTACCGGGTACCTATGCCGGGAATATATATAGGTATTGACCTAGATTACTGTTATCCTATATGATTGCTAATGGTACTGCAGACAAATAAATTACTGTAGTAAATATATAACCATAATTTAAACTTGCAGCGGAAAACCACTATAAATATATTATTTTAATCTGAGTGAAAATTTAATCAAACGTTATCTATATATAACAATATTGTATTGTAAACGCGTAAGGTAGTATTATGGAAAACGAAAACAGTCCGAGTGATACGGATCGGAAATTAATATAATACTATAGTAAATAATAATAAAGTGTCGCGTATTATATTAAATTATTTTGTGGGCTTCCAGGAAATGTTATCAATGTGATGCAGATTTCTTTTTAGACTTCCGCCGTCGGCCCAGGGGGAGTTAAGATACACGTCGTCATCGTCTTGGTCAAGTTTCTGAAACATAAAAACATAACATTATACCAATTATACCTCGGAACATAGGACTCAAAATAAATTAAATATATTAAAATCATCAAAAAAAAAAATCAACGACAACCATAAATCATAATTTTTTAGGGATTGTAACGTCTCCCCTAGCACTTCACATCAAAAATATTTTATGACTTTACTCGGGGGTGCACTTCTCCTCGATTTAGGAGATGGGTTTTGATCGCATAACGACACAATTACTGAATACTATGCATATTAGTATTATTTAATACGAAATCATTATTAGATTATTAGAGTATTTTATAGAACCCTCGATAAAATATTGTCCAATCCACTTCATAAGCCGATTATATTGTTAGATTGGATATTAAAGTGCATGCGAAAGAAATCTCGTTAAATTGACATTACATTGATTTGAAATAAGGGGAAGAAACCATTGAATATTTGTGTCAATTACTGTTAATATTTTCGAAAGTTTTAGCGTTTATATGAACTATATTGAATGTACGATCAAATATTTTATATATATTATACATTTTTAATATTTATGATACTACGAGAAGGAGGTATAAGATTTATGCGTTAAATATCATTTTTTTATTAATATTTCATTGTTATTTATGATTTAATTATGTACGCACAAGTACACAGTAAGAATAATAATTTAACGACATAGTTTATAATAATTGGATAAGAAGTTGTATCCAATGTATAAAATTGGCATTACTAGAGAAATGAATTAAACGAATAATCATAAATCACAAGTTATATCAAGACTCGATTAAAGATCACTCTGGTAAAAAAATTAGAATATTATTAAAATCCTAGTTCCAGTTCATAATTCTAGAATTAGATGCTCAATCGGAGCCTTTAAAGTAACCCTATTACTAGTCTAGAGGCTTTTACCAGGGAGCCACACTTCGGTACCGTATGGAATGGAACTATCACTTAGGTATATACAACTTAAATTTAAGCAGGTGCTGGCCCAACTATTGAAGAGGTTGATTAATAAACTAATCTAAAATTATGCACATTCCTTAAATTAAATTAAATGTATTCCTTATCTTATTGAGAAACAATGGTAACATTTATCCTTTATGTTATTATCTAATAAATACAATTTTTTTTTTTAAGCAATACTAGATAATTGAACTCACCTATATTTAAATTTTAAATAAAAAACATTTTACATCTAAATATTATGAGTTCGACACTCAACTCAAAAGAACATTAAGTTTAAGACAACTGAAATAAATGTCAGACAACAACATTATTCACGGGCATATTTTCCAACGTGAAACTAATCATGGAATTATTTATTTCACAATTATGAAACTGATATTTGTCTATGAGTTCACTTAAAAAGAAACGCCTGAACTAGTGTATGGAAATGTATTAAATAAACTATAAAAATAATACATATATACTGCATATCCCAATATCCAAATCTATACGGAAGCATCCAAAACCCAAACTAGAATAGAAATTGCAATTATATACACCCAAACACAACTCAACTATTTCCATTGGATATTCATACAAGCATTTACACGGCTGAATACTTAGACCTTCTAAAAAGAGTGTCAACAGCCCTTAAGATAGGTAATACCAAAATCGACATCTAATCCAACTTAATATCAGTACCTTGTCTAGTCTGAAAAATAGTGTACAGACAGATTGGCCATAACAACTAACAATCTAATACATATATACGTTTTATATGGGCTCCAGGACATTGCAACACAAAGGGAAATGAGAAAACAGACAAAGCAACTAGAAATGAAATTAATAATCCTAACATCAAATTACTTTCCTTGTTGTCATTAGTTGACATACACAGAAATGATGATAAATACTGTATACATTTATGGAACTCGGGATTGCACTGAGTAACAGAAAATAAATAAGGAGAAATTAAGCCCTCAGTTCATCACTGACTTCGCAGAAATCAACAGTTTAAGATTTAAGCCGTAAAGAAGAAGTCATATTCAACAGACTCAGCTAGAATTGCAGGTCAAACGAGAGTCACACATGAATATCTGATTGGAAAAACAGAATCTCCTTTAATGTCCTTTGTGCAACACAAACGTTAAGGTGAAACACATATTTATCCACTGTACATTATTCACATAGGAAATATAAGAATGCCAAGTTCCAGATAACATGTAGGTACCTACTAAGAAGCAATGCACCCTATGCAGATACCAAAAAAAAAAAACAAAATTGTACGACTCCACGTAATGTAAATCTAATGTAAATCACTTCATATATCTAAACAACCTAAGTACAATTATTTAATAATTGAAAGCTAATAACCTTATAATAGTTGACACTTAAACAAATAAAAAATAAAAAATTAACAACTAACTACTAGGCTTTATTCTTATGTATACCTATACATTTAGTGATGAAAATAATTGATTACCTAACTAATGAGGCTGTAATAAGTAAGCAATAAAACCGTTCTAAAATGAGTGGACCGAATAATAATAATTATGATTATTTACAATTGTAATAAATAAGGTACTTGTCTCCTCAGCGGTTAACGCTGCACGACTGTCCTCCTGTACAACCCATATAATCATTATTTTATTGTCTTGGCGCGCGCAATGCAGCTTTATTATTATTATTGTGTTATTTTACTGTTTTGAGTAAGCGCACGCGCGTTATTATACACCCTCGTGGAGAGCTTTGGAAAACGAAAGTTTATTTTTTACGGCTCGTGAGTCACGAGTGTAGACGGTGATTATAATACGGAGGAAAAAGACACATCTAAACTACTCAAGGAGTGAAAACGGCTGTTAATGTATATATAAAATAGGCAACTTTTCTTCAACCGTTTTAACACTACACAGGTCACAGTACGAAGAAATAATATTACAGACGGTAAGAATTAATTTCAGAAGAACTATAGCAGCGGTGGAACAAACGTAATTCATTAAATTAAGCTTTTCGTGCTTCATAAATCATAACATACCTAAAGCATGTTTTCAAATTTTATTTAATATGCATTAAAATATGACAGTTGTATGCGAAAAGTTTGCATATAAATACGACTTAAATAAAAATAAATCAAAAGCCGTTTGTTTATTGTAAACGATATTTAATTATAAGAGTAAATCAGAGCGACGCAACGTCGAATCCATTGTTATGTTACTTAACACAAATATGCTTCGATAATTCGATAGAACTTATATTTTAATTTTTTGATAATTTCGATTTTCAGAAATTACGAATAGGTATACTGAAATCATTTCTTATCGTTTATAGTATGACAATAATTACTCGCGGAAATACAATTTAGACAGACTATATGTAATCTATAATATCACGAATCGCGATATACGTATTTAAATATACAATAAGTTGCTTAGAGTTTAAAATAATATACATCGAATGATGGGTCAATGGGTCATTGGGTCAACGGTCTCACGAGTTGCGAGGTGCGTTGTAGGTACGGGATGAAAAAGAAGATCATGCGCTCGCGTGTTTCATTGGAAATTCAACGATTTCATCTCATCGCCGGCGCTCCCGGCAAGGCGCTCGCCCGTCGTACCGCGACTCTCGCCAAAGTCGATCCACCGCCGCGAGCACTACCATTTTGTCCGATTTTAATGTTCCTAAACTTATATAATGTAGAGGGTACCTACACGGATAAATCGCCCGAAACCGGAGTAACGAGGTAAACCACATCTATATAATATACATCAAGTACCCAAAAATACGTTTGTCTGTGTGTGTGTGTGTGTGTGTAACACAGGTATATATACTTAGCGTTGGCGGGGACGATAATTAACGTTTAGATTTATCACGTTTGCACGGCACGCACACACGTTGGGGCGAAATAGCTCACATAGAGATACGAAAGAAACGCGATTGACGCGTGGGAGGAAAGCCAACGAGTCGACTGCAAAAAAAAGTACAGCCCCGGCCGATTGCTGGTGCAGAGATACAGTATACCCACTGCAAGGAGGGAAATCGATTTCCCGGGAAAATTATAGGTTTCTCGAAATATGTTTGTTTACCACGACCCGAATAAAAAAAAGGCGCGAATATAACGACACAACGGAAAATAGTTCACGAAATGACGCGGAAAACTCTTATAGTCGATGCCTGTACACAATGAATACGAGGCATCAATGACAGCGATGCGAGCTGCACTCGGTTTAATACGATTTTTATCATATACGATAAACAATATAACTCTCACTGAAACTGATGTGTTTATATATTAATGGTATAGAGGCGGTATAGAAAGGTGCAAACACGGCAGCACATCGTACAAACACTGTTATGGTCGATTAACACGTCTCCGTAAACAACTAAATATACAGGATGCACAACTTTGTGTTTTCTTGTTTTCATGAGCTAACCTTTTAGGAAAAATAGGAAATGACCCACCCGGTGAAAACCTACTTATATATTTTATAAATATATACTCAATTGTATTACGAATGACCTATAGAAATCAATAGCACTAAATAAATAAATAAATAAATAAATAAACTATTTATTTAATTGTATAGCGTTAAATAAATTCTTTCACGCGCGTCCGGCATACCCGCACTATTGAAAGAACCTGGTTTATTTCATCATTCCCTAAACGATGATAAATACTATTATATTGTATCGACTATTCACAATATTTAACTACTATATTCCGACTTCAAATCAACATCACAACTGCAACTTTCGAATATTGTTTTCCGGACAGGATTATCGTTTAAACATTTTATAAAGCTTTAGAAAAAAAAAACAGTTTAACATTATTTTTTTTAAAATTATTATAATCAAACGCGAATAAAGATTGAAATTAAAGGAACTCAGGTTTTTCAAAATTTGTATATTATATGCTCTAACATAATATACCATATTTTTCCAATCAAAAGTAACATTGATGTACATTTTTTTTTTTAGTTTCGAAATTCTATATCGCTTATGGAATGTTTATTTCGGACTTTTACGGTTTGTGAAATTCGTAAGCCGTATAAGTATAATAGTACCTATATACATTTAACATAAAAATAGGCACTGACGCTTATGTCAATAAAAAAATCCCAATGGGAAAGGACTTGGACGTAAAATTATATTAAAATTTCGATTCGTGAGAAAACCACTCACGAATAAAGGGGTTCTCGAGTGCGCTCCAGGAGGGACGACTGCGTTTAAAACTAACCGATTTGTTTATTATTATCGCAACCACTCGTCGTATAAATGAAATCGTTATAATAACTACCTAGCTATGTATATATATACTTTCAAAGTTCAAATAATGATATCGCGTGTCGCGTGGTATTAGGTATAAGAAAAACGGTGCGCTGACAAAATATTATAATTATTGGGTTCCTACCTCTCTACGCACAAGATGCACATTACTTAGTCGAATAAACTACAGATTATATCACAATGATAAACGACGTGCTTGTATATCCTAATATTCTACTCTGTTTTGTATATATCAATCGCGTAATGTGCACATAAATTTAATAGTATATTATGTAATAACGAAAATCAACGTATACGCACCGCTACCCACGAGTATATCGTAAATCAAAATTATATATTGGTACACAGAATACTACATAATATTATATATTTTGTCATTACACAATAGCGGATTACTATATATATATGTATGTGGAAACAATTTAAGTAAGTTTCGGTCAAATTGTAGTCTCTATACATGGCTGTGGTGTATACAATTTTTAAGAAACATACAACTTGAGAAAAAAACGACGTTATGAATCGACGGAATAAAATAAACAAAAACCTACGACAATGCGAGGGCACACAGCCAGCCACACTAAACCGCAATATCGTACATATGGGTTATTTCGAGGGTCGGCGAGAGAAAAAAATAATAGAAGGTGAGAACGTGTTTATTACAATGACAGCATCGCGTCGATAAAATGCGATGTATATTATATACGTGCGTTTATATATATATTTATATATATTAATAGTTAATAATTAAACTGCCACACAGCTCGTTAAATAATCTTCTCGATTATTATCAACGAAAAGGCCGACCGGAGCACGATTAAACTATAGGTATTGTAAAAGTCTATTATAGCGGTATACCTCCCCTATATAGAGTTTCTCTAATTATCGCGTTGATAATTTCAAACTTTGGTACACGCGACAACGGGCCAATTCCTTTGAATCGTTTTCGCAGCGTTTACCTATACCTTCATACCTGTACACAAAGTATCTTCACGAGATTATATTATATAATATAATACGCAGTACAATAATATCATAAAGGGATGACACTTTTCTAACTCATTAGCCGAAAACTTACGAGGCACATAAAAACATTTTCGTGTATACGTACAAAATAATATAGCGGAGTTATTGTGACGTGGATATTAATGTATACAGGCTGAGGAGTTAGCATGCTCACCCTCTATTTCTATTTCTATAATGCAGTAATTCAAAATCTGATCTTTTGTACTGCCTACTTAAGGAGTGTGCTTTGAAGATATAAACTTCTGTTTTTCAAATGAGAACTTCATTTTTCTACAGTAAATTATCTAACGGATAATTTTTCAGTATCTAAATCGAAATTCAAAAGAGTATTTTTTTAACTTTGTGTAATAAGATCAATAAGGGTAATAAGTCAACGATAATTAGTTTGTAAAATATGCAGGATTGGTAGTTTGAAAGTTTTTGTAATTTTTATCAATCCATCACTATGTATAACTTATAAAAAAAATAGTCAAAGTATAATAAATATACAGCAGGTATCCGATTACATCTATTTTGAAAGGATCACTAGTTGAAATGTTGAACTGGGTAAAGTAGGTACATCAACAATTTAAAAAAATTAAACACTAAATAATTTACAGTAAAAAAACTGGGGGAAGGGGGTGGTCTAATTTTGAAAACAGAAGTTTGTTTTGCCACAGGACATTAAGAAGTGGTAAAAAAAAACTCAAGAATTAAAAAATATAATATTGTCTACAAATATTATATAAAAATATTCTAAAAATCATTATTTGAATAAATTTATTATACAATGAAAAAAATGGGAATGATCATGCTTGGTGAATCACTTTGTATACATATATATTACAATGTTGCGTCGCAGAGATGTAAGTAATTCGTTTCGCCAAGATTTCCGCGGGAGCCGCAGAAACGACGCAAACCGTCACACATAACATTATTAGATTATACATTTATAATAAATTATAGCTATACTATACTTCACGATGATCGATAATTTACAAACACGTATTACGCCAATGCAGCTGGGAAACTTGAACAACGACGGTAACTCGATGCTATAAGATATTGCCTATTGTAGTACATACGAGTACATGGGTAATTGTAATGCGAACGTTTGATTATTATTATTATCATCATCGCCATCATGGTAATTACCTACTATAAACGTTTTTGTAATTGTGTGCAAAACTGTATTAACAAATTAACAATATTAAACTCAACATTGGATCGACATAATCAAATAATATAATATGCAGGGAACTGTATACTATAACAATAATTAATAATAATAATAATAATAGTCAAATTACTAGTGCAAAATTAGTGCTATTTAGTTTAAATAATAATAATTCACTCGCGAGCAATATGCGTATTATTATTAGTACGATGTTCGATTATACGTCATTGACAGGTTTAGCATTCTCCCCACAAAAAAGCATCCTATCGCTGCACTAGTGTTTGGTAAGTTTCACGCTTGTACAATCTCATAAGAAATAAGTATTATATATTTAGTGATAATGTAGTATATATTATTGTACATCACATAACATACCTACTATTTGTAATATACCTACATATTGCATATTTTATGTGCAACATAAATTTATAGTATATAGTATATTATATAAGTATATAATAAACATTACAGCTATTGCAAGTATTAATTATCTTATATGAAAACTCAACTTTGATGATAATTCAACTTGCATAATTGTTAAACCATCGTCAGTGTTTTAAGTGTCTTCAAATTTGTTGTACACATATTATTTGTAGTACTATTTTTTTTATACAATTAATAAATAAAAAATAAAGGCGTAATAAGTTAAATATAAAAAGGAGCATATTACAACCTTTTTTCCCCCTTTTTAACAGACAGCAGAGAAAGCTCTGTGTGAACAATACTATACTCTCCCCTGCCGTTTATTGATGCACAAATTATGCAAAAATAGCGTAGTACAAACAGCTAGTATACATTTTGCACATGACTAAATAGCGAACTATTAGGTTCTCGAAAGTTTAAAAAATGATTCTAATATGCTCTAAAAAGAAACCTTAAAATATTCTCTTAATTATCGTTAAATAGGTAAATATGCTGAAAAAAATGTTTTTGTTTTACATAAAATAACTTAAAAACCTGTAGGTATACCAATTACAGTAGAAACATTTTATGATATAAAATATTATATTATATAAGTTAACATTAAACTTTATATATTTATAATATTTGCATTTACCATCTATTTATTGCACACAATGAAATAATAAGTTTAAACTTTAAAATAATTATTGCATACCTTTTCTTTTAAAGTATTTAAATGCAAAATAAAATACAACCTTTGACTACCTCTATACTATATACGAAAATTGTCCTGCTGAATATCGACTTTAAAGGAATTAATAACCCTACATAAATATATCTAAATATAATATTTTATTATTCGCCAGAGCGATAGAAACCAAACGGAATAAGAACGTAGAGGGTTCTTAGACATATAAATCCCAACCATATTTTTGGGAAACACGAAAACGACACGGGGAAACTAATAAATTGATATGAAAAAAAAGCAATATTAAGGACCATACCCGGTGGAATTGGTTAGAAACGGTGCAGCAGAGGCGGTAGCGGAGACGGTTTTTACGGACCGTTCGAGGCTGCTCTCGCACACGCTCGCTTTGCAATCGTCATCGTAGCAGTCGTCGTCGACGTCGGACCACTCGCCTCTGGACGGTTCGTTAGAGTCTGATTGTTTGAGCGTGTGTTCGGACAGGCGGAGCGCGTTCACGTAACTGGCGGTGGAGTCGTCCACGGCCAGCGTGGACCTGAGCTGTTCGCCGTAGTACGTTTCGGACGCATCGTCGTCTTCGTTGTCGTCGCCTCGTCGGCGGTACAGAGATTCGCTACCGGGCGTCCCGGTTCCGGTGGGTGAAGTAGGCGCGGCTGCAGCGCCACTGTTATTAGTGAGCGGCGTAGCCTCCGAACCTGTGGACTTGGCGCGAGACGCTGAACCACAAGCACCGTAGCCTGCTCCGCTTCCGGTGCCGACGCCGCTTCCGGTCGCACCACCACCTCCACCTACCATCCGTCGAACGACTCGACGCTTGACTTTGGGCTTGCGGTGCCGACCAGCGTACACGCAGAAATACGCGAGCGCTACATACACGACGGACACGACGAAACACGGAATGGGGAAAACCATCGAGTATACCAGCTGTCTGGTGCTCTTGGCCAGGTCCAGTTCGGTGATGACCACCCACGGTTCGACGCGGCTGTAGTAGCACGGGTAACTGGCACCCACCTCAAAGTACCGGTCCCGGAACGTGGTGCAGTTAAGGTGAGGCGGGTACCCGCACCCCTTGACGTTGGGGTATATGCGGGCCAGGGAGTACGCCCACCCGGCCGCAGGCTCGGGCTCGATGGGCCGGTAGCCACGGACGAGCAGAGATCTCTGATGCCGGGCGTTCAAGTCTCCCGCTCGATCCCCGGGTACGGTGTAGTTCACGAATATCTGCGCGCATTCGTATATCTCTCGGGTGCAGCCTTCTCGGCAAGATGCCCAGCCGCCCGGCAGCGAGCAGTTGGATGCACCCTCGCGGATCTCCGAGTGCGCAGTTACGCACGTGGTCGGCGTCTCGTCGAACTCCATCAGTATGGTTGTGATGGCCGGCTCGATGAGAAACGGCACTAGGAACAGGAACACGAACAGGCTGACGATGCCCAGCAGTATGAAGAACGTGGTCAGGTAAAATAGCACCCGTTCCCGGAGCTCCTCCAACCGCTTCCTCTCCGCTTCTTCGCGTTGCTGCTGCTCCAACTGCTGCTCGATCTCCGCCGCCGCGTCGTCCACCGCTGCCGGCCCGTCGTCATCCATCAGCTCATCATGACGCGAGGCCGTCCCCGCCCTCTCGTCTTACCAGCCGACCGCGTGTTGTATGCATTTTCGTCGCGGTTTCTTAGATTTCGATTAGTTCGCTTATTATTTAATACTATTACTAAAATGTATACGGCCAGCGTATTTCGAGTTGACAAAAAATTTGAGCACACGTTTCACGAAAAAAAATTTCTTATAAATCAAATGACACCTCGTTGAACTTTTATTTTGTAGTCGTCGTCGTCGTTAAAGCTTATCAGTATTTGAGTCATTTAAGTCGTTCGTCGTCGTCGTCGTCTGCCAATTGCCGAGGAGCGTTGAGAAGTGGTCGCGACGTCTAATCGTTCTGTCAGATCCATTTCCCTGGTAGTATTATAAGTGTATAATATGTGTGGTAGCTATGGTCATCTACTATAGTCTCCGTTTGCAGGTCCTAAAAACGCATATCGTTATGAAAAACACACGCGCGTACAGTCGTATATCGTTTTACCGACGCAATTACGGCGAAAACTTTCTCAATCCCGACGCGGTGAACTGGATTTGGTGGACGATGGGGATGGGGGGTGGGAGTGGCTGGAGCAAGGTTGATATTTTACGCACGTATTTGTATTGTATAAATATAATGTACTTTATGTATCTACTGTCGAATTTCGTTCAACGCCACCGCACAGCTAAGATACACGTATAACCGTATACTTCTTTACGTATATTATATTATTACATCCACTAACAAACTTATAGCAAGGAAGAGATAAAACATGACGTTAAAGAGCGAATGAGAAACGAAACTCATATAACTCGAATAACTTATATTTGTTCATGTTCCACGAATTAGTCAGTATATGTACAACATGTATTGTACATACCCATTAAATATGCACCGAACATGTTTGAACCACTGAGAAATCGATCGTATTACGTATATCCCTAGGTAATAGTAATAATTTCGTGCTTCATAGTATGATAATATGTGTATGCGTTTGTGTGTGTGTGGGTGGGTGTGTCTAATCCACCTCGAAGTATTCAATTTTTAAGAAACTTGTATCTCTATAACATATGTACGGCTACCACCTAATAGTAATAATACCTACTATTATTTTATAAGGCTACCCATGTCTCCGTCAAAACCAACACCTTCCTACCTTAATTTATTTCTACGGTATATTATACGCTTAATTCGTATACATGAAAAAGTATACAAGGCGCACAACAAACAAAAATTAAAAACGTATAAAAAGTTCTCCCCGCAGATGTCTCTGCAAATGTCTCCCTGCATTATGTTATTATAGTTTGTGTTCCTAAAGCCACTGTCAATAATATGACGACGTCTAGCGACTGCTAGTACTGAGTAAATAGAAAGAGAGAGAGAGAAATGAATACGAACACTACTATAAACATGCACGAATCTCGTTTGTTAAGTTATTATTTTCAAATAAAGTAAAATATACGCAGTATACGTGAAAACTATACTCGCATTACATATATATACCTACGTAATACACTACACACACACTACTACTTTATATAACTAGCGACTTATTGTTCACGCGCGTCCTCTATAAACCTATTATACGCTTAGTACGTATTGTTTTTTCGTTATCGAATAATGTTATAATGTATATCGTGTACACTGTACATACACATAGAATAGAATATATACGAGGCGATTTTTTTTGACACGACAGACTGCATTATCGTGGTTATATTTACAGTTTTATGGTTTTGAAGGGAAAAAAAAACATTTGTACATAATTTAAAGTAATAACTACTGCAGATAACGATATACACGGCATGTCGGTATACACCTACCATATATTTTCCCAGCACAATTTTTATCTTAGTCATATATTTAGGTATAAACTATATTTTTAATTTCTCGTTTGAATATTTTTCCGATGCTGAAATATTGTCAAATATTTTTTTTTTTTTTTTATCGAACCAATAAATATAAATAACTTTATATTAAGATGTACCTATAGTTTTAATTATTTATAAGAATTTAAAGTTGATATAGGTAGTCGTCCGATGTAGAGCACTACTATTTTGAGGGCTATTTTATGCAACTTTTACCACTGTTATCTATAAACTGTAAGTGCTTGTGAATAAAATAAAAGCTATATCCGTTCCATGTTCGATATTTATATGCATACAAATATATGAAATAAATATGAGTTGTAATAAAACAAGGATTGCTATTTCAAAAGTTAGAAGTATAAAAACTTAAAAAATTAAACTACAATATTTTAATTTATATGTATGTACCATAGATCATGGTGTATAGTCAAACAATATAAATAGTAAAAAATATTTGATTATTAAAACAAATGTAAAGTGCGATTAAGTCAGACTAAAAAGTTTCCTTCAGAAAATCAAAAAAGTTCATTTGCACGGGTGTTTATCGTGTTTAAATGAACGGTCTCTAATAGAATATAAGTTGATTAGCGTTTCATAAAATTTTACCTACCTACACAGGAGTAGATATACGAATTATACCTATACTTATTCGTTTTAATCAAACACGAGTTGAAATTAAATTAAATGGGGTCACTAACTTTGACACAAAAATAATGGAGATTACGTAAGACTCTAACGTACAATTCCCCATTTATGTTTGTATCATAAAATGTAAATATCCCTCCGGATGGATACGATGTTCAAAGCATATGCATATTATATAATATGTATAATATGTACGATGTACCTACACTGAAATAGATTCAAAATTGATTGACTTAAAATGTTAATAATATTCAAACTTATATAGCATCACATAGGTGTTTATTTTAAAAATATTTTTTTTTCCGTGAAGGTACTTTCATGACTTCAAAAGCACACTGATTATTATTATTATGATTATGCATAATGCATTTTATACCATCGATCAATGAACGTAAGTTTATCTATACACACGTCTACCTATATATTATTACATTTCATTGTAAACACGGTATTCGTATAATCGTGCAATATTAGAGTGTAATGTGTATCCTCGAGGAACGCGTACAATGTAGGTAATAATATTATGATTACCACCTATCACTCGAACGGAACGAAAATAGATCGCGATCAAAATTCGGAAATGTCATAGTACAAAAAGTGATCGGCGAGAAAATACATCATCGAGGTTATTATGATATCCAATATAGGTATAGTAAATATTATATGTAGATTAGAGGTAGCTATACACAAAAAGCGTGTGTCGGCTGCGGCGGTGGTGGCGGCGTCAGAGATCGAGAAAGTTGCGTCGGATTAGGCCGGGTAAAATTGTAAGTATAAAAATATATACGAACATAAAGTGTAACAATAAATTATTATTATTATGGAATATGGTATACAAAATATTCTAATAACAGAGGCGGATCGAACATAATATTATACTTTCGATGGTTCGCATATATGCATAGATATAAGAGTGATGGGAGGGGGTCGTCGTCGTCGCGGGCATATTATATTTAATGCGATTTTCAAAGTACAAACTTTTGAGTACTGTCATAAAAGATAATACGTTGTACGTATAGGTACGACGGTTAAACCGTTCAAATCGAACGAGACCTGTATTGCGAATAGATACGGAATGAAAAAAAAACCTATATCTACGTAAATTTCTAGAAATTTATACTACTCCTGGACTATACCCCGATGTAGAAATCGTGTGGACGGGTGGCTTTTTCGATTCTTATTAGTAGTGTGTTGGAATTTAAAAAACTAGAATTATAATTAGATAAATTAATTTTGTATTCGTGTGATCTCGGCTGATATTATTGTTGTAAGTTAATCTGAAACCGGTCGGATCGAAAGGGGGGGGGCATGTACTCAAGCCGCCTCTGTTAAAAATATAATATTATAATCGTTAATAATTATAATAATAATAATATTATTATTAAAATGCACACAGACTACGTGACGTACCGTGTGCGGGCGGAGCGGCGGCGGCGGCGTAATAACGTGGTGGAGCGGCACGGCGCTACTGCTGCTGCTGCGACGGCGGCAGCGACGGCGACGGTTAACGTGCTACTGAGAGCTCCGTCGGCGGCCCGCGATACGCGGTTATATTATACGGCGGCGGCGGCGGCGGCGGCGGCGACCCAGCGGATTGATCGAGAGATCGAGCGGAGAAGCGACGTCGCCGGCGTGCGCTGCTCCTCGGCGCGCGATGCAGAGCGGCGAGCGTTGTTCAGCACACGGCGGGGGATCGGGCGCCGTCTAGCGGTGTCCCGGCGGCGGCCGCGCGCGCGTGTCGTCCCTTACAGCGACGGACAGACGGACGGACGGCCGGCGAGCTCCCGCGCATGCGCGATCGGGAATTGCCGCGGCGGCAGATACGCGTATTCTGTGTAATGTATACGCGTACATATAATTGCACGTCGGTCGGAAAAAAAGACGTTCGCCACACCGTCGTGACCGCGGTAACTGCAGCCGTCAGACGCCCGCCGGGGTAGAAGAAAATTAAATTATTTCAATTCGCCCTAATACGCCAACCCCATTTCCTCTCCCACCACAACAGCCGACGATAATCATACAACGACGCGTTATTTACAACATTCCATGGCCCAAATCATATAGGTATAGAGCACCAATTAAGTCGATCGCGAAATATTCCGAATATTCCGCAATAGGTAACCGCCGCAGGTAACATGCTCTACGCCTAAAGCGTTACGATGTGAACCTCGCTACGACATCTTAAGTATACCTGCAATATATTATCGTGTCCTCCAGGCTATGGTCACCGACCACCGTGTCTTGGCCTACTGACGACGGTATGAAATGTTTCGGGAGGGTAGCAGGTCACATAATGGGACACAATTCAGCCAATCGATAAGGCTCGTTCGCCCTATATTTGATATACATACAATAGACGATGTATACATACGAATGTGTCGCGGTGGAGGTGTGGGTCGGTGGAGTGATGGGGTATACTCGATGGAGGGGGGTCGAGGGGGAAGGTCTCGATAACGATGATTTGACGTAAAGTATTTTATGCACGTTCCGCGGGGATGGCCGTAACCGGCGGCACCACGCGCGATATATGTTTGGACGATAAATATTATATATTATTGTGTATTAGTATAGGTACCTACTACGCGAGTGTATAGCGATCATGAGACGATCTCTCTGCGTGTACGACGCGACGACGAGAAACGACGAGATCCCAAAACTTTGGCCGGTCGGTCCGTTTTTTTTCATATCCTAGAAACTACCCGCTACTCGCATCCCACCCCGAGCGCGCGCCACCCCGGACGTCGCGCGATGTTGCTGGTTGATATTATATATATATATGTATAGTTTCACTGCAGCACATATATTATATATATATATATATATATATGTATATGTATATGTATATGTATATGCATATGTATATGTAATGTATACACTGCGGGCGAGAGCCCCCGCGGATCGTATGAATTTCAATCCCTCCGGGACTGCTCTCTTCCGTATTCACTGCAGTCCACGGAATCTATCCGCCACCACCGCAGAGATCTATATTATACTTGTACGCTGATTTACATCCCGCCCAGGCCATATTATATTGTACACGGGTCAAAGACGGACCAACTTCAACCACGGTAAAATAGAACGACAATGTATACACACTATACACAATGAATCGGCATATATATATTGATATTATACGCACTATAATAAGAGCTAAGTTATATAGATAGCTACACACAAGGCGTCGGTGAACGTTTCCAGTCATTCCCTATACACACCCTCCTCCACTTACACCCACACCTGCTCCACGCACATACAACCCAAAGTCGAACGATCCACCGCGCAAATATGGCAATAAAATAAATACATTTTGTACAATGCATGTGCTGCACACAATCGGTGTCGGGTCGTCTTGCGGTCGTTGTTTGCAGTGGCGGCGAGAAAGGGGTGAGTAGTACGTATTATTATTATTACTATTTTGAATCACGTGATTCAAGAAAACAAATTTACCAGGCCGGATGATGGGTAAATAAATGGGGGCACCTGAGCAGTTTAACCAGCGAGAGATTGAAACGACTCGTCGTCTTCCACCGCGTACATTACCTACCTACTTAAGGAAGACATTTTTCTTTTCGTTGAAAATCACACAATTCTTAGTTATATCGAGTTTCCGATGAAATACGTACATATTATACAGCAAAATGCATTATAATTGTACAGGTAAAAAAGATAATATTTGTACACACGTGCGTATGGAACAAACAATTTACCGATCTGTAGCTGCGGAGGATGGAAGAGATGACTACGTGTAATTTATATTGATATATTGCTCACAACAAGATAGAACATTTTCCCGACATCGCTAGAAGTTGTGCACGAAAGAGTGAGGCCGCTTTAAATAATATAAGCAAACGAGTGAATGACTCGGAAAAAATTAAAAACAAGAGAAAAGAGGCAGGTTTTATTTTATACGCTGCTTTTCATGTCTTTAGAGCATAATATATACATGGCGACAGGTATAGCCGAGTTTAGAATGTTCTTAGCGAGAAAAGAAAACTATTCGCGAATTCTCGTTTATTATTAATTAAACCCACTATGATTCTCTTCCGAGAGTATCTTCCTCTCACTGTCGCTACGGACTACATTGGGGGTGTCTTTAAATTTTGAAGAAAAAAAAGAAAAACTAAGAGAACCGAGCCCAGTTTACTCGGAAAATGGTCATGACAGAATTAAAACGATAATTCTCCGAATATTGTTCGTTTCATTCATTCACTATTTTCTTGAAAACTATACTCGTGATACACAGAAGAATACCAAAAAATACTTTCCTCAAGTATGATCGATAATAATGATAGTTACATTGTTCATGTAGTTACGTGACTTTATATAACTTAGAATTATAATCGAATAAAATGCTAGTTGCTATATACTGCGTAAAACACTAAATTTGATTTTTTAAACTTACTATTTGTTTGTATAAAAGTTCAAATGAAACATATCATACTAAAATAGATAGTATTAAATAATCAGATATTAAAAGTACATTTGGAAAATATGTGTGTGTATTCGTTATTATTTAGCAATCGAAATATTTATGATATACATTACATTGCGATAAACTGTAGTCTGTGCTCACTAAATGCTATATCAAATTATAAAGCTATAAAATCCAAGCACAACAACAATAGTATAATGAGTATGATATGTCATTTAATAAATAATACAATAAAAAGCTAAAATTATTATTTAAGTAATATTAATTTAGATATATGATGATTTTGAAAATTATGAGATAGGTATTTCAATTATTCTCAAAAATGTGTGGTTGTCAAAACTATCAAATTATAATGACAAAAAAAATACCTATTTAAAAAATGTTAAGATTTTATCGGTATGATTGCATTTACATCACAACAACTCTACACCATGGTACAATACTTCCTATAACTCCCGATTTTCATCAGCTAAAACTCAGAACAGGATTATTACAAACAAAGCAATACAAATTCCAATCCTCGGTGTACGTCTATGGGTGTTACTGACTATATGACTAGAAGAATGCCAGAATTATTGCAACACATCTAGAAGTTGCAATACAATAAAACGAGGAACTCCCTGTGCTGCATAGTATGTTTTGAGTGTACCTTATCATTGAGTAGATCACTATTCGATGCGTCAAATTTTAAAATCACAATTTATATATTATATTGTAACTATCTACGCAATACGAACAGTTTTAGTATTTAAGGAAATCGTTAACATACAATAACAAATTTGAAAACTATATTATAATGTGTTTCGAAAATGGTTATCTTAATATTTATGAAAAAATGGTAAGCATCTACGACTATTCTTCCCGGAAGTTATTTTACAACACAAAAAATAAAATCAATTTCTTCAAAAACAGGCGTTGAGTAAAAATTCCAGTTTTGCCGCTGTTATGTGCTATGTCATTATACAGGTAAAATTCGGATATTCCTATTTTCGATCCCCTAAAGTACAAGCTATAGATTCAAGTTTCAGCCAGAATTCATCCTCGATGCTTAAGACTGAAGTGAATTTATTACTTTAAAACAGGATAATAAAGAAAAAAAATACATCTCACTGTAAGACGAATAAATATACAAATTAAGATAATCAGTAGAGATTATAAAAAACGTAATAATAATTCTTATTTCATAATACTGAAATCCACTGGACCGGAAATGATGATTTACGTATACATACATACATATTTAAAACTTAACTAATAAAAACATATATAATTAATATACATAACCTTTATGACTATGAAATTGTAAAAGTACACAAGTTTACAAAACAATTCAACAATACCAAACATGAAAACTAATAAATCTAAAAACTACTACTAAAACAATAATTTAATGTTTTACCAGGTTTATTAGTGATTTATGTTTTTTTTAATCTAACTGGCTTTGACATTTTAGGCAAGCAACAATTCGTTTATAAAATTAAATCATGATATTCTGAAGTTGGTTACAAACTACAACCATAATTCACACCTCAATAAGTTCTCTTGTGCTGGCGTAAAATAAAGTTGGAAAATCATTAAGAAAAAAAATTAAATATTTATTAAAATATAGTTGAAGTAATTTGAAAAATAATTTTAAAAATGAAGAAAATTAATGGTTTAAATTTATTAAATGAAAAATAAACCAAAACGTGGGTAAAATCAATGTAGGTGTATATTATTTTTTTAGTACCCACCTACCTATTATATTAACCCTGAATAAAACGCGACAGCTATTGGTTTTACAATGATATACTTGAATTACCGAAAACGCTTTAAACGATATTCTCGTGTTTCAATCCTTTTAAATTTATAGTCGACATAAGTAGACACCTAAACAATATATACGATGTACTTGGGGTATCAAAGATGAAAACTTTTATTGTTTTCCGACGAAAATCTAAAAAATAAAAACAATATAAAATATTGTAGTGTTCGGTAATGTTACTTGATTTATTTAGTATTAGCTTCTAGATAATATTATATTTAAAGACTTGGGATATTTGAATTGAAGTATTACCAAACGAGTACGCTATCCAAAAACTGTCTTAAAGTTGTAGAACCCATTTAACCAACAACAAAAAACCCCGTACAGAACAGTAAGAGAATTCGGGAACATATAAAACCTTTATCGAATCAATCACATTCGTG